TTCACTGCCACTCCATAGTCTTGTGACCAGATGAACGGTTTGTCCTTCCCCAACAACTGAAACAGGGAGCTGCAATACAGAGAAACCCTCTTACAAACCTTCTATAATAAAATGCCAATCCAAAGACCCCCTGCCGTTGTCTCTAATCCAAGGGAGTGGACCACAGACTATTTGTCCGCACCTCATTAATCACAATCCCTTTGCTACCTGTACTGAGGCCAAGGAAGATTAGCTCTCTTGTCAAGAATCTTCATTTGTCAGGATGCAAGTCCTTTACTTTTAATATTGTACTTTCCAGCAATGCAGTGTTACCAAAGATTAATCAAAAGTCTCTTAATCCAGAATGTCATCCAAGAACACCAGACATTATGTGAGTGGAACCCTCACCAATCAAACTCCATCCACCCACTCCATCAAACGTTCCCTTCTTTGGCACCATAACCACAGGTGATGCCTGCGGACTCTCCAAAGGCTCTATAACTCCTGGATGCTGCATTTTCTCCAGCACCTTATCTGCTGCAACTTGTCAACCTATGGAAAGGAGACGTATTGGCTTGGCTGACCCGGTATCATTGTAGTTCTAACCAGTTGACCTACATCGCAGCTCCTCTTTGTCACATGGGTAGTGGTTCTGGAATTTCTTCAGTATTTCTCAAAGTAACCCCTACCGATTTTCACCTGCAGCACCTTCATTCTTTTTTCATGGCTTTAAAAATGGATCAACTGAGTCTGAGTCACTAAAATGGCAAAGGTCTGAAATTTAAGTTTTTCAAACCACAGCAATCTAGGGTTCTTTCAGCCCCTTGTACAGATCCAAATTTGCTAGCAGCTGAAAGGGGAGTACAGTGTCTAAGAGTGGGCGACCACAGTTACAGGTCACATGAAATTAGCAATTGTTTCTAACCTGAAACAAGAAAGGTTTTGTCTGATTTGATCTGAATTAATTTTTTGAAAGTACAGTAAGAAGCTGAATTTTGTTACATATTTTGCGAGTTGGCAATTCTTTTGATTTTTCATATGTTGTACTGAAATGTTTTTTATAAACAATCCAGTTGTTTGGACAACTACTGTATCAACCACTTTTCAGTATCATATGTATGTTTAATCAGCTAATCTTCATCAAAAAACCTACACATTTCTTTTCCATGCTGAACCACTAGCTCCATTCCTGAAGCATCCTGAATTGACAGCAGTGACACAGATCCTGATTCTAATTACTGGACTTCTCACTTCCTGAACAGGGTTTGCATCTGACAGCCAAGACTGGCACTTAGTAACATGTCTTCAGATGGCTGCTGACCCCCACATTGCACGTTTCCAATCTAGAGACACAAGAGACATATCTTCCCTCAGAGGAGGGCTGAACATAAATGGATGAAAACACAAGGTGATGGAATAAGCAAAGGCAGGAAAGGAAAAAATGGAGAAGACAGAATAGGAGGGGTGGTTGTTTTGACTGCCTCAGCCCATGGGTAGCATGAGTCATCTCATTCAGCTCCGCACATACAAGACTGTTTCTAATTGTTTTCTTTCTACAAATATTAGAAGGCTCATACATGTGAAAAAAATTATATTTTCCTATAATCAAAACAATATACAATAATTGATATGTATGACCAATTTGAGTAAATTAAACAGTCATCCATGATGATGTGTACAGATTTTAACTCAGACTGCACAAAGATCAGGAGTCAACTGAAGCCTGAACATCACAGCACTAAGAAATTGAGGGAAAAAAAGGAAAACAGAACTTTAGAATAGTTATCGATGCTTATTAAGCCAGAAATAGATACAACCCCCACCGCCATCTATAAAGCGATTCTGTACAAACAGAGGAAATTTAAGGTCATTGTTACCCTCAGCATGTGTGCTCCTTTGACAGAGTTCACTTCAATATCAAGGCGTTTATTGTGTGAAGCCTGAAAGAACTCAGTGTAACTATTTTTTTATATAACAGCATCACATGCATCACATAACTGCCTACTGTTAAACTTGCAATTACACTAGTCGAAAGTGGAAACAATGGCGTGCATGACAGAGCTGTGACTTATTTTTCTCCAGAAAAAACTCAGCAGTATTTAAGTTTGTTTAGCATCAAATGGACAAGCCAGGAAACAGATTAATTAAATGCTTTGTAATAGGACCAAAATAGATCATAATTGGTTTTAAATAAAAACTGTTTTCATTAATTTTTAAAGCTGGGATGCATTTCATTTTAATTTAAGAACAATCTCCCATCTGTTGATCATCATGTGGTTCAATATCATAGCTCTCTCAATTTTTTCCTGGATCTACTCCATAACAAATTATTAATATGGATGTGGAACAAATATAATCGAACTTCACATGAAGCTGGGCTACATAAAGTGTTGCAACGCCAATGAAAACCTCAGATTTGATCCTTTACCTACCAGAACTAGGTTTATCCAGGTTGTGTTTAATACTTTTACTAGACTATAGTACAGCTGCATTATAAAAACTTTGTTTGGATGCCTCTGAGTTGAATTTAAAACTATCTTTTTTTAGAAACAACCACCACGCTTGAGATAGTATTATGTAAATAGGAACAACTTTTTTGAAACCTTTGGTTATCTTAGTTTTTGAAAATGTGTAATTCCCATTTTTCATGTGTAACATGCTTTGATAAAGCTTGTCATCTTATAGTTTTATAGCTGATTTTTCTCTTGTGAAGCCTGCTTTCTGGCAACAAGAGCCTACTAAGTCAACACTAGTACATGGATTCTGGTTTGAAGAGAAAGAACAAGCAAGAGACCACATGTTGAAAATTTCCTAAACTGGATCAGACTCAGGCTGTTCAACGTACAAGTTCACATGGTAGCTGTTCTTTTACTTGGTAGCTGAAGGATATGATACAGTTTTTTTGTGTGAAAATCTTAGTTCTTAATTTTAGAAGTTACTAAATCCAAACAGATTTTAAGTGGTTCTTTGTGGGGTGAATATTAATTAGAGTAATATATAATATAGAAATATATAATTCTACATTTCTTTTTTGTTTTTTGTTTTTGTTAATTAGGAGAGTATGAATGAATATTAAAATAATAAGCCTGGCGTAATCATGCAAAAAAGTGATGCATATCAGCTGTACAATGCTTGACCAACACCAACCATTGCTGGTTAACATCAAACTCTCTCATTAAATTACCTCTGTAGAAATAGGGCATAAGAACAGGTCAGCTGGAACTCACCTAAAGCTGATCTTTCCCGATTGGTTGAAGATTCTTGTTAGACACATGATGTATTTCCATTCTCCAATCTGAGGATCACTTACTATTTATGGTTTCTTGCTTAAAAATATTATAATATTATACATCTTATCTGACTGAGGCTGTACTAGACAATTTTCCTTTCAAGAAGGAACACAGTTATAACTGTTAATTTAAAAAGGACTGTGTTCTTGCTACATTTTATAAGATATTTTTAACACTTTAAACTTTTTTTAACCACCTGACACACAAATCTTATAGTATTCTGCAGACATTTTTTATGTTGCTCTATCACTTATGCCCTGCAGGCTGCAGGTTTTCAAAACTTAAATTTGTAAATTGGGGAGTGCAAAATAAAAAAAAAGTTTGCACTGTAGCTTAGATTTATCTGGAAATACGTCAAAGGCTTGACAAAACTAAGATTACTTCTGTTTGCCTCATTTCCATATTATTAAGTGATATAATTATTATTTTCTAGCTTGTGTCTAATTTGGAACCTGACAACCATTTCACCTGTATTTGATAGATTCTCATTTTAAACTATATGTTGGGTAAATATGAAACAGTTTGTCCATCCTAACACAAGCTTTATACAATAGTTTTCTACAATTTTGATCCAGTCCTCCTAAATTCTAAATTATATATCTGATTATTTTGGCATGCAAAAAATATTAATGATTTTGTAATCCTACAGCTGGAAAAATGACATTTTTTGTTTGCTTTTAATGTCAGTCAGAAAAAAGTTATAAACCACTTTATGTGCTGCATGTTAATATCTGGATTCAGCTGTTAATGTGATACTTTTCATAACATATGTATCAGTGCAGGGCTTTTTTGTTTTACTGCCATGCAGTGTTCTTTGTCAGCTATTCTGAGAGAATCTGTTAATCTGATATTATCTTCTGACCATTGCTTATCATTAACTGTTTATTGCAAATACACTCACTAAACAGTCCAGGTGTTCCAGTTGGACAACCTTTCACGCATGACAACAAGGTCATATAACTTGCTTCAAGGGAGAAACCCAGAGGCTATTTCCCATTTTTGTTTGAAAGCAGTCTATTGATATCTGAGACTCTCCAGTTCAGTTCTGGTTCTTCTCAATCGGTTTCCTGCACACAGGCAGGATGTTACCATGAATCACCCTGATAACACGACTGGAAAGGTATTGCCTGCAACAAGTCCATTAAGCTATGCAGTAGAAGTTGAAGGAGACCTCAAATGGCACTGAATGTGCCATTTGAGGTCTCTCCAGTTTTCTCCAGTATAAAGCAAACGCTTTCTGTCAAGGTCATTTGGGTGCAATACTGAGTAAATAAAAATATTTTTAAAACGCAGTTTTTCTTTTACACAACACGTGACCCCTGGGGAAAGCAGTTGACTTGTTAATGCCTATAGAGCGGGCTCTGTGGAAATCCATCCACCCCTAATCAATAACCCGCTGCGCTCTCCTAATAATGTAACCATGACGCATCTTTCGTCCGAAGGGTGCGCGTTCATTTCTGCCTGATCTGATGTCCGCCTGTGCAATGCAACGTGAAGGGATTTCAGAATTAAAACACCTAACAAAATAAATATATCAACAATCACCGTTATAGCTCAACACTTTAGTCCTCCTGGACATGGCGCGTCTCAAAGTTAGTGCAGGGAAACCAAAAAAATGCTAAAATGTGAAAACTCTCCACACCTGAGTTTGTTTTTGCTCCGATCAGTTCCAGCGATCGGGTGACGCACCTGCCCTTAGCGCTGCACTTTATGAATCAGAATCCACTTTACCTGGTAACAAAGTAAACTCTGCGGGTCGTCCCCGGACGCGCTCATGGCTCCTGGTGTGACCCTTTCTGCATCCACTGGGTGCAAAGATGAGACTTTACTGAGTCAGGCTGCTTCTGACCGCCGTCTTCACTGGATGCGGTCACGGCTTGGATGCGGCGACTTCTTTTGTCGTCCCACACATGTTGACAGATGACATATCTTTCAGATGACGAGATAAAATGATTGTTTTAGCCGCTTCTGTTAAGGTGCCGCGCCTCCAACTTCCCTCCCCTCTTGTCCTGCCTAACAGAGCAGGATGCAGACAGCATCACTGCGCCCTGAGCCAATCAGAGCGCAGAGGCACACAACAGGCTGACGCACTGCTGCTAACCAGTGAAGCCAATACGTCTATACAGCAGCTTCATCGTACACAGTGTTCACTTTAAAAGCTTCAGGGATTCCTCTGCCATATGCACTGGTCATAAGTTCCAGACACCGTTTGAAAGGAGTTTGTATTATGCAGAAATCTGTGGAAACTACAAATAATGCAGATAATTATCGATTTGTACAGAAAACCTTTTGGAATTAATTCCTTGCCACATATGCACAGCACTTAGAGGTATAAGTTCCCAGCAAAGTTTCTTACTTTTCCTTTGTTTTTACACTCAAATGTTTGAAATTATACATTTTGATAACAGTCAAAGGCAACCCGAGCTTATACAAAATATGCTTTTTAAAATATTGGTTTTATTTATGGAGAAGAGAACAGCTATCCAAACCAGAATTACCCTGTACATAACTTGAATTGTACCTTAAAACAAATAACCGAGAAACAAAGAATTGTATATCTATGAGTTAATCGATTGTTACAAAACCAAGGCTTTATCTTCCTGAGTTGCCAGACTACATGTTGAGGAGGATATAAAAAATCCTTGCAATCCTTCCTCAGTCAAAATCTGTGTTTATACTTTAGAGGAAAGAAGAATGATATCAATCTTAAAGTTCCAAGGTTAACATTTTTTTAACCAAACTATTTTTTGATCCACAATAGGCAAGATAAGGCAAGTGAATTTGTATAGCACATTCAGTTATAAAAAATTCAAAGTGCTGTATATTAAAAAAACGTAATGCAAAAACAGAGAAAAGCACATTGTAAGGCATAGAGGTAATTAACTAATTAAGCTTTGAAGCAATCTAACTGTATGATCCGGTTGAATTGTGTCATGATCTGCTCTGATTGCTGAACTTAATTCTTCACTTCATCAACTTATGTTCCTCAACTTATCCACCTGCGTCTGTTGCTTTATATTCGGCTCAGCCCAGCTATGGGGGCAAGACCATTGTATGATGTATGTTTGTTTCGTTAGTTTTAGTTATTCCAAGGTTTGTGTCCCCGTCCCTGGAGGCCAGCGGGTTAAGAGGGTTTTAGTGTTTGTCTTGTCACCTCTTGATTGTGTCTTGGCTCTTACCTGCTAAGCGCTCTCTGTTCCCGTTTTGGCTCTGCGGGGGCGGGGGGAAGCTAGTTTAAAGTCCCGTAATCCTGGCTCCTAGGTGGAGTACAGTTAAAAGTTCTGCAGTTATCCCGGTACCATGTCTTGTCTATGTCCCTTAACCACTTAGCCCGCCTGTCTATATCTGTGCATGTCTTTCTGAGCAATGCTGCTAGACTCGTGGAACTATGAACCTACCTTCAAGCTCTGTGGATTCCTGGAACCCTGTATCTGTCTGTTCCTGTGTGAATCAGAACCCCTGACTGGGCTGTGGACCCCTGGATTCCAGAACTGTCCTGTCTGATCTGTTTCCCTGACCAGGATTGAATTCCTGCCTGCTCACTGAGGTTGCTGCATCAGGGACACTCTGGGCAGCTCTGCACTGCAGCTTGTTTGGCAGTCCATCGGCTGGATCCTGCCTTCCTTGGAGAAGATGGACTGAACTGGTAAACCTGAGTGTCAGTGATAGCTTTGTTCCCCACCTCCTCCATGCAGCCTCTGCGATCCGCAAATCCACAGTCCGCACTTATTATGTTTTGTATTAATAAACATTTTGAACTTTCCCACTGTCTGTCTAGCAACGAATACTGAGTCCATCTGTCCATGTTTTTTGACAGATTTTCTCTGTAAAGTGCCTTTTGATGACATGTGGTGCGAGTTGGAGCTATAGAAATAAATGGAATTTAATTATTTATAGATGTTTACATTTTTTTTCTAAAGTTGATTCTCAGAGAGATGGGAAGTCATTGTAAGCTCTTGAGAACTGGGGTGACATGCTCCACTTTCTTAGCATTAGTGAGAACATTGGCAGCCGCATTCAGATCAACTATAGCTGTCAAATATTTTAGGCAGACCCCTTAAAGGTATAGTGGAGGATGATCTTTTTCAGGGTGGATCATCAAAATAAGTGGTCCTCCTAATTGTCAATCATTCTGGTGATGTGTTCATGTAAGGCCGCCCTACGTGCTCGTCCCCATTTTCACTTACCGGTGGTGAGTCTGACATAGTGGAAAAACTGCGAATCTTCTTTTGTAAGTAAGCTTTTATAAGTGATGAAAACAGCAACTTTTAAACAGAGCGTGCATGAGGAGAAATGGGCTTGTGCATGCTCTTGCAAGAGTTAAATAGTCGTTCCCTATTAGGAGTGGGTACAGGGATGTGCATGTGCATTATTGTTTTTTAATTGGAGAGGGCGGGTCTTTTAAAAGATTTGTGAAAATCCTCCACTATACCTTTAAGACGTAGTAAGACAGTAGCGTAGTTTGTAATCATAAGAATGTAACTTGAGAAGGACAGTCTCTGTGGTTTGCTGAGCATAGAATCCTAATCAGAAGATGTCAAAGTGCCCGCTTATTGTTAGAAAGGTGTCTTATTGTTGAAACACAGCTTTTTCAATATTCTCATTTATGAAGGGGATAATTGAGATTGGCCTGCAGTTTTTCTGTAGCAACTTCTCCAAGTTGCTCTTTTTTCACAGCAGTTTGATAGTTGCTGTTTTTAGGGCCTGAAGAAAAACACTTGACAAGATTGACCTGTTTAATTATTTGAGTTAAATTAGATGTTAAATCAGGAAAAATTTCTTAAGGAAAGCTGTGGGTAAAACATTGAGACATCAGGAAAAAGAGCTTCATTGGTGTTAAATTGCTTGTAGTTTATTTTTGGGGAAATACTGAAACTTAAACAAGAAAACTTTGGTACCTGACCTGTTAGGGGTTACTAACACAAGCTAACAAATTCATAACAGGCTTTGGTAGAGTGGAGTTTAGATGCTACAGTCACAGGAGGGTTTTGTTAATCTGCCCACTGTGGCCAATAAGACACCAGGACTGTTAATATTTTTGCTGATGATCTCAGAGAAGAAAGATCTCCTTGCATATTTCAGCTATAATTTTAGCTTTATCTGCACAGTGTCTCTTCATAGATTTTGTAATGAACCTGGACTCCAGCTTTTCACCACTCACTTTTTTCCCTTCTGACTGTTGGAGCATTTCTCCTCAGACTTTCCCACCTCAGTAATAGCCTTCCTTTAATAGGATTATAGAATCAATCCTGTCTGAAATTAAAGAATGAAACTTATCTACCAGCTCATCTACAAAGGTTCAAGGCAATGTGGAGGTGGAAGAGTAAATCAGGTTAAAGGTTTCATTTGCCCCATCTGTAAAGATGCATTGATGCTGTTGGGGATTGGGGATTATGGTAAAAATAACTGAAACAGAATAACTGAAATGTGATCTGATACACATCGAATTCAGGCACAATAGACATGTTTCGACCATTAATGATGATTAAGTGCTCAATATTTCCCTCATTGTGTGTTTACTTCATCAAATAGTTCTATGTGGTTTGTTTTTTTTACTTTTTTGGAATGCTACTGTATAAAACATTACATTAAAATATGATCAAAGATTAAGTCATTGATGAAAATTGATTTTCTGGAGAGAGATATAATGAAGTGTGAGTAAAGCTGGTTTATATGACTTAGCAGCTAATAAAAACTCTGTGTCTTGTTGTATCCAACAATTACTGGCTTTCAAATTGATTGTTTATTCCATCTCTTAACCTTTGTTTTGTTTTGTTTTTTTGTAGCTATGTTTTTCTTTTTATATATTAAAACAGGGAATTATCAACTATCTCTGATCAGAGGCCCAATTTTCTCCCATAAATTATGATTTCATATAGAGGCACCAGTGTGTATCAGCCTGTATCAATAAAAATATTTATATTGATGATTTGAAGGTTCTGATTTGGAGATAGAATGGGAGATTGTAGGTTTCTGTGGCTTTTGGAGGATATTGTAGAGGAGCAGGGCTTTAGCAATGGCAAAACTGAAGCAAAATATTCTGTGAACTGAGAAGAAAACAAAGTGCTTTTTGGAAGGTTTGGGTGTTGATTTAGATTGGAAAGAAAATCAGCCATTAGCAAACCAACAATCAAACATGTTGATGAAAGAGTTTTGAGGGTGCGCACACATTTGAAGCATGCAATTTTGACATTATGCAGCAGATCAATGGCTTAAAGTACACAGGTGAGTTCACTTCTAAATCATAAAAAATGAAGGGTTTTAGTGTTGCCTAATTAAAAATCAAGGCCTCCTAAAATACCGGTATGTTGAATCATCCCTGAAAACTCTCCCTACACTAACTTAAGCTTGGTCCTTAAGAGGTAATTGAGTAGTTTTTTTTTTTTGAGTAATTATAGGGCATATCTTTACATTTTTAAATCAATTAGGCTTTATAATGTGAACTTATTTGATTTTTATGTGCATTTGTCTTTTTGGTTTACTTTTTTCTTTGTAAAACCGTGTTGATCCAGAATTAACTTTCCTTGGTTGGTTTAGGCAGTTTTTATTGTTGTTGTTTTTTTTTGTTTTTGTTTTTTTGGCCAATCATTAACATTTTTTTTTCTATCATTCAATAAGATAATAATTCAAAAATAGTTTACTTGTCCTGATTTTCACATTTTTTTTTTGGTGATCAGCAAGATTTAGGAGTGACAAAAATAATAATCAAAGAAATCTGTAAAACTGTAAATACTCTTTTTGCCCCCTGTTTTTATGTTTTAAATTTTTTCCACTGTATGCCATTTTATGAAGGGGAAGCAATCAGTGTGAAATTTCTCAAAAACATAAAACCATTCCAGAATTATTAATTAACCTAGACGGTCTGTTTTGAACTGGGTGCAGAGGCCGATGCCCCAGGTCACCATTTCCAAAAACTCCAAATCGATATCAGTCGATGGGTTAATTTTGTATTAATGAGAGAGTGTCCCGGGATAATAGAGTGG